AAAACTGTCCTGTTGGAAATGTAGTTACTGTGCAGGTTTCTGCGGTGATGAAAATTTCCTGCCGTAGGGCAGACGTTTCCGCAGCTTTTGGCGGGTGTTAACCAGTGATTTCTCCTTTAAAATGGACTTCAAGGTAGATCTCTTGCTTACCAGAATGTTAATGTTGGCTGTGCCTGGTAGCAGCAGCTGGTTGCCTCCCAGAAATTTGGCTTCTCTCTTTATCAAAGTTCATACTTAATTGGGTAACCTCCAAGTCCACAAAGCTCTGCACATGCTGCTGTTATGAGCATTTCACTTTAAATATGTCCTATTAACAGTCTGAATAGTAGTTTATTCAGGAGTGAACTACTGCATCAGTAACAGCAATGTGGTACAACTTCTAATATTTTTCTCAGATTCTATGTAGATTCCTCCCTGGACCTGGAGGTATTGATCAACAGCTATCTGAGCTATCTGAGCAGGAGTCAGCAGTGTGCCCAGGTGGCCAAGAGGGCCAACAGCATCCTGGCTTGCATCAGAAATAGCATGGCCAGCAGGACCAGGGGAGTGATTGCCCCCCTGTACACAGCATTGGTGAGGCCACAGCTTGAATATTGTGTTCAGCTGTGGACCCCTCAATACAAAGACACTGAGGTGCTGGAGCTTGTCCAGAGAAGGGCAGTGAAGCTGTGGAAGGGTCTAGAGCACAGGTCTTACAAGGAGCTGCTGGGGGACCTGGGGTTATTTAGCATGGAGGAAAGGAGGCTCAGGGGAGCCTTATCAATGTCTACAACTAGCTGAAAGGAGGTTGTGGCAAGGTGGGTGCCTGGCTTTTCTGCAACATAGCAAGCAACAGGACAGAAGGGAAGGACCTCAAGCTGCACCACTGGAAGTTTAGGTTGGATATTAGGACTTCACCAAAAGGGCTGCAAAGCAGTGAACCAGTCTGCCCAGGGAAGTAGAGGTGTCACCATGGCTGGAGGTGTTTAAAGGACATGTAGGTGTGGTGCTGAGGGACATGGTTTAGCAGTGGACATGGCAGTGCTGAGCTGACAGTTGGACTTAGTGATCTTAAAGGTCTTTTCCAACCAGATTGATTCCATGGTTCTGTGCTTGGGCAAGAGCAGTACAGAACTGGGCAGTGACAGGTTGGGTACCTAGCTCGTGTTTCACTGTTGGCTTTTACTTTGTAGCTAAAGCTTAGTCTTACAAAATTAATTTAGTGAAAAAATGGGTGGGAGGAAGAACTACTCTTTTGCCTTCTTTGCCCTGTAAAGAAAATTTTTAAAGTTTCTGACAAATACCTAGTCTGCCTAGTAGATCCATAAATGGTAGTGGTGATCCTAACAGCTGTTTGCAGGTCAGACTACTGGCTCTTCACAGATCCAGTTAGTTTACTGGGAGTAACATGGTTTTAAACAGAATCCCCTTCTGCTTCTGTCCTGCAGTTTGCTTCTGTGAGCAAAGTTTAATGATGTGTAGAAGGGACTAACTGTAGTCTTGGAACTGTACTTCTGCATTTCTTATCCCCAGGCTTTGTAATGACAGCTTGCAGCCATGTAGCTGAGAGCTGCAGCCTTGCTTTGCTTGCCCACTGCTTCCATAAATGGTGGAGGGTGTATGAGTCCATTTGCTTTCCTTCTCCTGTGTTTTTTCACCTCATATCCTTTTTAAGTAAAAAAAAAAAGAAAAATGGATAAAAGTCTTTGTGAAAACCACAGCACAGCACTTCTTTGACTGACAGCTGGGGGTTTCTGTTGCTGAGAACCTCCTGAGGGATGTCTTCTTGTCAGCACCATCCTCCTGACTGACACTTTCACTACCTCTGGGTTATGTCTGGCCGTTGACAGAGAGAAGTGAAGCAGAGTGTCGCCTACCCCCAGTTCTGAGACACTTCTCCTAGGTTGTAGTGCCATTTTGGTCTCTTGTGGTAGGTTGTTGTGCTGTGGGTTTGAGCACGTTACCTTCTGAATGCACCAGCTGTGGTGGAGGGAGGTGGCTTTCCAACAGCAGTGCCTGTGGAGCTGGGAAGAGAAGCTGAGGTGAGCGGAGTGGCTGCAGTTGGTGCTGTGCTCGGGAGGGCCTGCTGAGCAGAGGAGTCCTTCCTCTCCAGTTGAAGGCAGTTAGAGAGCAGCATCCTCTCCTCTCCCCTCCCTTCCCCCAGGCAGCTGGGTGGCCGTTCTGCTGCCCAGCCCCCAGCGTGCCCGGGCACGGTGCTTCTCACCCAGGAGCTGGGGAGAATCCCAGGACAGAGGGACAGCTGTATTCCTCTGTGGCTTGTACAGCAGCCTGCAGCTTCCTGTGAAACACCAACCCCTAGATGTGGTGAATGAAGGAAGATTTTCAACCAATGAATTCTTTTGCATTCTAAATTTCCCTCTTCCTAAAGTGATCTCAGCATTGGAAATCAAAGAAAACAATGATGTCACTCTTTACTGACCTACATGCAAAGGAAGTTCAAAGAAGAAAGCCCAAACATCATGTTCTGTACCTTTCAGCTCTTTTTTCCCCCACATCTTGTAAAAGGAGATGCAGTTTACTGAGATGCAGTTTTACCACTTCATCTTTTACCAGTGTGTTACAAACCATGCATGCTAAAGGAGTCTTTGTTTAGAAAACAGCCTCTCTGGATCCACAGAAGGAGTCAGAAGGTGGGAGGTGATAGCTGAGTCAATTTAAGTACTGTTTGTCTTCCCTAGGGAGCATGACAGAGTGATTCTGTCCAGGGTTTTATCAGCTGAATTAAGCTGTTAACCCAGGGTTTCAAGTCACATGTTTTAAAGGGCTGCTATAAAAAAATGTGAACCCCTGAAGATGGCTGGTATTGAAACAGCAGTCTTACTGTTAGTTCATCAGTGCACATCTATTAACATAACAACAAAAATCCATTGCTCTTTTTCAGTAGAGCAGATACCTTGGGTTGGGGAGAGGTGTCAGAAATGGAATGGGCTGCTCAAGTTCACCTGGTAAGAGGAAAATAGAAGCTTCTAAATAGTGAAACTTTCAGTCTTGGGGAATAATTTGCCTCTCAGTGCAAATGATCCCATGCCAACAATATTAACATTTTTTAATTTGAGATAAAACCCTTCAAGCTTGAAAGCTGTGTGTAAGTAAAATGTAGGAAGAACTGTAGTTTAAGCCTAACTTGGAAGACAGATAAACCTTTAATTTAAGTTCCTCTTCTCTACCCAAGTCTGCAATACACTTGCAGATCTGTGCTTGACTGGAGCAGGACTGATTTCTGAATGAGGTGGGGAGAGCTGTGTGAAAATGAGCCCCCTCTTTAAATTAATTTACTAAAGCATTTTCCAAAATTATCTACAGTGATTCCTTAACATGACTTTGTCTAAACGTAAGGATTACTCCAGTCAGTGCTTCTTTCTTTCCTTCAAATTCCAAATTAATGAAAAATTTCCACGAGTCTCCCAACGTCATAATGTTTTGTAAGTGCAGAACAGGGATCTTTATGGATCAGAAGCTGCAGGTACCTGGACTAGACTACAGAAGCCAGGCTGTTCCCATCTCTCAGGGAACTTCTCAGGAACCTGCTCCAGTCGGAGTTCCCTTGAGGGTGGGTGAGCAGGGTTGAGCCCAGTACTGCAGAAGAAGTCACACCCCCTTGGAACATCACCTGCTCTCTTCCCCTGGCTCTGTCCCCCCACTGATCCATAACGTCCTGTGATTGACTGCTGTATCTGGAGTGTCAGCATTTGATAGTTTCCAAACGGATGAACCCTGCCCTTACAGGAAAAGTCTTTACTATTAGTCACTGTTATCAGGACTTTGCATCTGCTTCTGTTCAGTTTCACCTTCTTTCTGTTGTTCCAGCTTTCAAAAAGTGTGTGATGCTGTAATCCTGCTCTGTATCAGTGATACACCTGAGCTTCTTGCCATCAGCAAATTTCCCTGGCACTTTGTTTTCCTTTTTTTTAGTATCAAAGTCAGTGGTAAAAATGGCAAACAAGGCAACTTTCAAGACACTTTCAATTTCTAAATAACTTTTGCTGCAACATTTGGATCAAAGGAATGCACAACTATGGTAATGGCAGAACAATTTCATCAAGGGAAGATACCATCTGTACCTTTCATGGGAACAGACTGAATTTTAAATTTACTTTCATCATTTATAAAAGATTTAGTATTCCTTGAATCCTGAGTCTGAAGGAAGAACTCTCCTTTCATTCCCAGGGAGGAAACATTTCTTTCTGCCATTTCCTGCTCAAAAGTTCAAAGCTGAAGTACAAATCCAGCTGCCTCAGCTGTCAGAGGTGAGCTGTACAGGGCAGAGAGGGAGACTCAGCCTTGGCCAAGAGACTGAATGTTGTCTTCCAGTGTTCCCACCACCACTGTGGGGGTGTGGTAGAGCCACACAGGAGTTTGTTTCTTGGAGTGCACAGTTAATCTGTGCTGTGGGTGCACTGGCTCTGACCTCTCTGTGCTGCAGTCCCGTGTCTCCTGGAGAGCAAGGCTGTTAAGTTTGTTCAATCAACTCCTCCTAGGAAGGTTTGATTCCACCTTGTCCTGTTCGTGGTGGTGGTGGTGTTGCTCATGCATGGTTTGAGTTCTTTTCCATCCAGTACCAAGACAGGCAGTTAACTTCATGCTAAGAGCCAGACTTTGGGGAAGTTGACATTACTTGTGGTAATAAAAATGTCGTGTCAGCTGAGAGAGTTGTGCTGTGAAATACATTTGCTTTTTGCAAATAAAGGTGTGATTGGTGAGGCTTCAGGATTTTTTAAAGACTCTTACAAAGTGTATCTCAAATAAACTTTAAGAGATTTCCCCTTGTGATCAGGTTGCATCGTAGTTCTTCCTGGCTTGGCCTGTGAGCCGCTTTGAAAGCCAAAGTCTCTGAAGCTGTGGAAAGCAGCAGCTTCCTTCAGCACCAACTTTTGGGTAGGGTTCCTTGAGAGGAGGGGATGTCTGCGGCCGCCTGCCTCCCCGGGCTGCAGGGGGGTTGTGTTCTCTCCCTCCAGGAGCCCTAAACCACCTTCCTTCTTTCCCCTGTGCCCCCCCTGCAGATCCAGCTGTGGGACACGGCCGGGCAGGAGCGCTTCAGGAAGAGCATGGTGCAGCACTACTACCGCAACGTGCACGCCGTGGTGTTCGTGTACGACGTGACGAACGCCGCCAGCTTCCAGAGCCTGCCCGCCTGGATCGAAGAGTGCCGGCAGCACCTGCTGGCCGCCGACATCCCGCGCCTCCTGGTGGGCAACAAGTGCGACCTGCGCGGCGCCGTCCAGGTGCCCACGGACCTGGCCCAGAAGTTTGCTGACAGCCACAGCATGCCCTTGTTCGAAACCTCGGCCAAAAGCCCCAATGACAATGACCACGTGGAGGCCATATTTATGACACTGGCTCACAAGCTGAAAAGCCACAAGCCCTTAATGCTCAGTCAGCCCCCGAATCAGGATGAGATACACCTAAAGCGTGAACCAAAACCTGCCGTCACCTGCTGGTGCTGAGTCCTGCCAGCAGCAGCATCCACCTTCTCTGATTTGCAAATGCTTCAGAATCATCATCGTGGCAAAGCACCAGGTTTGGTAGCAACGATAGTGAATGTCTTTGGCACTTTAACGTGGGTTTGTGTTTGGTTTGGTTTGGTTTGGTTTTTCTGGTGTAGATGTGCCCCTCTCATGTTCTTGCACTTCGTAATTGTACTTTCTTCATTACTGAAGTTTCACTATAAATACACGGGGAAGTAAACTTTAAGTGAAGGTTTGACAAAGCAATTCTACTTCTGCTCTTGCTGCCTGAGATTGCTCTCATCACTTGTGATAAGGTTGTGAACAGTGAGCCAGCTCACCAGCATTTTTGGTTGCTCCTCGCATTGGAATAACATAGGAGAAAAAGTGTTTTGTGACAGCCAGATAGCTTGATTTTTGGGTCAGCCAGTGGGGAGGTTTTGGGCATATGAAGGAATATTTGGTGACTGCTAGCAAATGGCTAAGCAAGTACCATTTTGTTTTAAAAATAAAACCCAGGACTGTCAGGTAAAGTTTGGCTGTCAGTGCCAGTATAAGCTGCTGGCTTTTGGCCTGTCATTTCACTGTAAACTTTGTCTGTTTCTTTGTAGCAATGGTAAGAGAATTGACACACTTGTCCCTACCTCTAGTCGCTTAAAGCTTCATTAATTTTTCATAATTAGCATGTAAAACTAAACTATGCATTCCTTCTTACAGAAAGTACTGTAGCACAGGATTTGGGGTAAATTTGGGACTATAACGGTCCCTAAGTTCTCTGACCTTACAAAAACTTGAGTGAGATGCTGTAGTTGAGTTGAGGGTCCCAGGGTAAGTAAAAACACTTGGGTAAAGAAAAGGTGAGTGGAGCTGGTGGAAGTATACTGATTTTCAAAGATGGGGGTTTCAGGGGATTTTAGTGATGATGAATGCTTTTCAGATGTCTTGGGAAAGCTTTTTAGGACCAACTTGATAATATGTTTTAGGGATGGAGGTGCTTATGAAGTTAGGAATGTGGGACTTCCTTAAAATACTTCTGAATACCGAATAAATCAGGTGTTGAAATACAGAGAGAATCTGCCAAACACATCATCTGTTAGAGGTACTTGAGCTCAGAGCTGCTTGTGTGTGCAACGTCATGGCTGTGTGTGGGGTGTCCTTGGCATTACCCATGGGAGTTGGTATGTGTTGGGTCAGGGGGGGAATTGCTCCCCCAGAACCCTCTTCTGTGTTCTCATGGTGGCAACCATGTCATTTCAGTTCTGCCTGAAGGTCAGGCTTCATGGTGCTTCATTCCACAGAGTGACATGCAAGCCATGGAGTGCAGGCCATGGCTTCCTTCCTGTGCCATGTCAAACAAGGCTTTGTGACTTTGTTTTTAAGGGCATTGAAGTGAAAATGAAGGGGTTTGAATTGCAATGTGCAGGGTGTGGTGCTGACTGAAAACTAAGTGGAAGGGCCAGTTCAGAAGCTGATCACATTAGGAACAAATTATGGAAACAAGATAACTAATATTATTTAAACTAGTACAATTAATAAGATGTCAGTGTAACTTGCAGTAGAATACAAAAGAAAAATGCATTGACTTTTATTTCTAGGTTTAGAAAGCATTCAATTTGGTCTAATATGACTAAGAGGTTTTAAAACAATCTAAACAAAAGCTACTACTTTTTTTCCTGTGTCAAGCTGCTACAACTGTGACAGTGATTTTGCTTCAGAAACATTTGTAAAAGGGAACTTTTGTATTCACTCTGAACCTTACATGACTAGAGTTTGGTTTACAGTCCTTTTAGAAACAAATCAGTTTTTTAACACTAGTGTCCTTAATGATTTTTTTAAGAAGAGGATTGACCTTAAATTTATGTGGATGCTATTGTAAATAAATATGGTTTACAGTCCTCTTGGACAATTTGTTCTTCACTCATGTCCTTAATCCTTCTTCTCAAAAAAAAATCCATTGTAATTATTTGCATAACAAGTATGTCAGCAATTGTTCTTTTTTTTTTAATTAACAAAAATGAGAATGAAGCATTCCAAAGTCAGTCAGTCAGGCTGGGGGTCGAGGTAAGGAAATTATGTAGCTACAGTGTTACTGCTAAATTTGATATCAAGCATCTGCAGATTGGTTAAGCTTTGTTGGAGTTACTCACAACCTGTAAATAAGGACCCTCCTGTCATTAAACGTGTGTGGAAACGATGTTTGAAGTGTGTAATTTTGTCTTCCCCACAAAGCATGTCTCAGTGGTTCTGCCTCAGAGGTGCTGTGGTCATTGCTGCAGGGCTCAGGGTGTGTCCTGGCTGTCAGGGGTGGCTCCTGCCCACAGGGGGGTGGCACAAGCACTGGACACTTCACACGTGCATCCTCACCTTACCAGCTGTGAAGCTGGGTTATTTTGGGGGGGAGGGAAGGGCCAGACACAACCCCAGAAACTAATAAACTGGCTTTGCCACAAACTGCTCTCACTGGTTTCAGTAATTACACTGGGAATGATGGTGGAAGTTCTTAGGGTAAAATCCATTTGAAGCACTGCACAGGAGGAAGGAGAGTCTCTAGTCTCCACCTGTGTGGGTGACAGTTTTTTGACAGACTGTCACCATACTTGGCCGACTGTCAGTGCTTTCTTCAGTGGCTCCCAGCTCTTGAAAAACAACCCACTGGATGATCCAGAGCCACTTTTGGGGTTTATTGCAGAAGAATGGGAAGTGATACAACCGTTCTAGAACTAGGGCTCACCAACCCAGTCAAGGGTCTGAGCACATAGTTAAAGAACTGGAGAGACAGAATAGCTCCACCCTTGTCATCTTCTGCACTGTAATTGTAATGAGGACCCCTTATGAAAGCAGCATCTTCCACTTCAGTCTTATTTCATCACTAAAATATGGCTTAAAGATCAAAAATTAAGCTTTCCCACCTGGAATCAGGAAAACTGAACAGCAGAAAAAACACCAGTAACTGTTTTCCACTCAAAGACCACAGCCTTGCATGAAGAAAACTGGGAAGTGTAGCACTTGCCTATGGTTTGGATCACTCCTGGAGCAAAAAAAGGGCTGGTTTTGTCTCCCACAGCATTAGATCATGTGCTGGGAGGGCAGCTCCTTTGCTTTGCAGCTGGTCATGGACGGGTTCATCCTGTGTGACACTGCAGGAGTGTCAGCTTGAAACTGTAACCCTGCCCCAGCATTGTCCCTGCCTGTCAGCCACTAACTTGCTGCTTTTATAAGGTCATGGGCAGTCGTGTTCCATGTCCCTCTGGGTGAGTATTTGCACTTCCACCTGAATAGATGGTTCTAATGATCTTTTGCCCCCTGGAATCCTGCTTTCAAGGCCACTGATGTTTCATGACATCTCAATTCCTCAACAAAAAGTAGAGCCACATGTTCTTTCAGAGTAATAGTACTGTTAGTTTTTAAATGGCAGTCTGGTTTTCTGCTCAAAACCACACAAAAACGATATGGAATCTTAAAAAGTGGAAGATGATGTTAGAAATTGGCATTATTCTAGGACACAAAAAATATCCCAACATTGGTTTGAGTTTAAGGGTGGCTTTTTTGGTTATTTTTGTATGGATATGAGAGAAGGAATTGCTGCTGGTTTCCAGTGACATGTCACCACTCCCTGGGCTCTGTCACAGGGGCTGACACCTACTGAAGCACTTGCTGCTCCTTGTACTTCAGGAAAATATTCTTTCCAGAGGCCAAAGACAGGGTTTTTTTTGTTGTTGTTGCTTTTTTGGGGGGTGACAGAACTTGCAAGTCACTTTACCATCAGGTGTATGACAGCTGATATTGCCAGTATGAAGCATTTAATAAAGAAAAGGCCTGTTCTTGTTTCCCTCAAGTTAATTACAATAAGATTGGCTTTTAAATAAATGAGGCATCTTGAAAAAAAAAAGTTGAGAGTGTTGGTGTGTGCATTTTTTTGATTCCTGCCTGCTTGCATCTTACCTTGAAGCCTGTAGGGTGCACTTGGGTCTCACAATCTGTGTTTCCATCAGGTGATGGAGTTTGAAAACAGGCTTTGCTTACACATTTAAAAACCAGACCAACAGGAGCTCCCCCAGAATCGTCAGGTAGTTACTTACTCCCAGAGAATCAAGGAAAAGCAACTGTATTTGACAGCACCAAAGAGATCAAGGGACCTCTCTCTTTTACCTGACCTGTCAGGTCCTAGTTTAAAACAAGCAACTCTTTCTAGTACTGCAGCTCTGCCTCTGTTTGAGTGTAACAGCAGCATATTAGATCTTCATCCTGGAAGATAATAGTGTGGGGTTTTTTCTTTCTACTAATACCAATATTTTTCAGTCACAGGTATACAGAGAGTCAAATTTAAAAAAAAAAAAAAAGAGCTTTGTCTTTCTAGCAGCTTATAAACTCCTTTTTAAATAGACTTTCTGTTCCATATGCCATCCAGCCCCTGGAAGGCAGAGAAGTGTTGCACAGCTATAGCCATAAGCATGGGGAATGGCAATGGTGAAGTCACAATGAAGTGGTTTATGACCTATGGCTTTCACACACACATGTATGAGCACAGACAGACACAGATATGAAAGAAAAGGGAAGTGACAACTATTGTGAATGTGAGCACATGAAAAGTAAGAGTCATAAGACCATGATCTTAGCTCAATACTTCCCTTTTTTCTTAATTATTTTTTTACTGGCTGCGTTGCCCTTCTGAAAAGGTCATAGGCAGAAAAAAACTCTTCTTGTGAGGCAATGTGGTAAAACAAATATTTTTATTTACTTTTATTAAAACACCATCACACTGTGCCTCTAAACCACATGTGGTAAAGCAGAGGCCATTTCTTTTTGTTCAAAGGCCATTTTTCCTCTCCTGGCCAAGAGGCCTTGCTGAGTCTCGGTTGTCCTGTTGCCTGCACAGCCCTGGAGCTGGAGAGGTTTTCCTTCAGCTCCATGGCTCCTTTCTCCTTCTCTTCTCTCCTTCCTGCTGCTGCTGTTCTTCCTGTCCTTTGTAGTCCTCCATCCCCTGGTGCTTTGCTTGTACC